TTTTTATCCTGTGACCCTGGGGATGCTGGAAAGGTCGTAAGAGTGAGGACCATACATAAGTCACATTTTTTCAGTGCCATTGTAACTTTGAACGGTCATGGTCACTCATTGAATGGATGATAAGGTGAGGACTCCATTTACTTGTGAAACTCAACACTATTATGCAAATGAAATGTATGGGATCAAATAAAAGAATGCATCTGACTAAATGGTAATTTAATTTACTGCATTTACTATGACAATTTTCTATATAGTTAATGGATTTGCCACATGTAAAGGTGAGAGTTTAATACTGTCTGGTTCTTTGATTGTTGCCTCAAACTGAAAGTATTTCTATCCAAGAATGAGATTTACAAAATATTCTTAAGCAGGATTTATTGAAATGACAAAGATAAGTTTATAAGAACTTCAGCAACTGAACTATTTGTCACTTATAATCAATTTATTCCCTAATGTCCTGGGGGGAGTCTTTTTCTATTGTCTTGTAAAAGGAGCTGGAATTTTCTTCCGATAATGGAAGAGTTTGTAGCTGGGTGTTCAGATAACCATTTCCTGAATCTTTGCATTACATTTTGAAATATTTGCAGAGGTTTTGAGGATTACCCTAAGGCCGTGGTGGCGAATTTATGGCATGTGTGCCACAGGTAGCATGCAAAGCCATATCGGTGGGCAGGCAAGCGTTGCCCTAGCTCAGCTCCAGCGCACACGCATGCACCGGCCAGATGATTTTCAGGCCTTCCGGGCCCACTGGAAGTCGGGAAACAGGCTGTTTCCGGCCTCTGGAGGGCCTCGGCGGGGGGAAGGCTGTTTTCACCCTCCCCAAAGAGGCTCGAAGAAAGCCTCTGGAACATGGGGAGGGTGGAAAATAGGCCTATCGGGCCCACCGTGTCATTGCATGCCAAAAGTTGGGGGACCGCGGAAGGGGTGTCGCCATACATGTGCTGGGGCGCATTGAATTATGGGTGTAGGCACGCATGCACACAACCCCCCTGCGTTCCCCCCGCTTTTAGCCATCACTGCCCTAAGGGGTTCGTAGGCCACAAGAGCACATGACGTTTTTGATTAGGCATCTCAGATATATAAAAACAGTGCAACTTTTTTTTCTTTTTGTGATTATAGGAACTATTTTCTACTGGTCACAGATCTACAATCTTTGAAACTGAAGTTGTTTTCCTTTCTGACTAGAAATATGAGGAATTGAATCTGCGCTTTTGTAGATGCTAATGCATTTCATGGATTCATAGTCTCTTTCTCTCTATATATATCTGTAAATTGGTTTTATTAAAACATACAATCTGCTTTTATAAATGTTATACAGACACAAACACACACACATACACATACACACAGGCCTCGATTTATTACCACAATTGAGCCCAAACCTATGTTGCTGAGGTCGCAAAAGCTGATAACATGACCCAAGGACACTGCAACCATCATAAATATGAATCAGTTTCTAAGCATGTGAATTTTGATAGTGTAACCAAGGGAATGCTACAATGGTTATAAGTGTGAAAAAGGGTCATAAGTCACTTTTTCACCATTGTAACTTTGAATGGCCACTAAATGAACTGTTGCAAATCAAGGAATATATAATATACACACATACACACACACACAAATATACATACACAAATATACATATATTCATACATATATATATGTATACATATGTGTGTATATGCATATGCATATGCATATGCATATGCATATTAATCCTCTTGATGTCAAGGCTTATTCTGCTCCTCTTGACATAATAGTAGATCCTCAAGAGAGATAAGTGGCCATTCTAAAAATGATTGTTTTCTGTTTTAAAACCTATTATTGAAATGCCATATATTTTTAAACTATGCTTTTAAACAAAGGCATTCCAGTCCAGTGTTTGGTATACACCTAAATTAACACAAAACCACACTCTGAACTTTTCTTTAAATAGCTTTCTTTTATTTTAAAGGTGCTTGAAATAGAATCCCAATGACTGAAAGTGGCAAAGGAGAACGTCTGCAATTCTACTGAATTAAATTCAGTTAAGTTAAACATAAAAAGCATAGAATTTCTTTAGAATGAGATGTTTTTGATCACAACCTTAAAATCATGGTTATATATTTATGGACCATGACCAATGATCTTGTAATATCCATTGATTTCTTATGCAACATTGTTTTATTCACACACAGAATGAGAAACTCAAGGTTCCTATATGTAGAACAGTTGTTCCAGATCTCAACTACAAACTCTGTAAGATGACACCAAAGAGATACAGAAGCCACTAACTCTTGGGCATCTAGTGAAGCAGGGTTAGGCACCATAGTGTTATAATGTAGAAATCTATAAATCACCTATTCTGAACTACTGTTTAAGACCTAAAATTATTTGTTGTGATGTTTTTGTGTTGGTTGTGCTATATTAGGTTGCATGGTCAGGACTTTTTGATAAAGTTGCATAGGTATCCATTTTGTTGGAAGATTTTGCATAGACATCTATATAGATGATGAAAACGTAATTTCCAACAAGGTGGTCTGGCAACTTTTATAATGTTTCCATACATCAAAAACAACCCAGAAACCACCAACAGACCAGTACAACCACATTGCATCACCATAGCATACATACTAACTAAAGCTCTCCAAAACATCCCAAAAGACCCAGCAGCCCCAGAAGAAAAAAGAGGAGTCATCTAAAGCATGCAGTGTAAGATCTGTAATAGCCGCTATGTAGGACAAATAGGTAGAAGACTAGCTTGAGTACCAACTAGCAGTCAGAAGACATAATGAAAATTCTTTAGTTTCACAACACATGGACAAACGTAACTGGGAAATTGTGACAATCCTAGACCAAGCCAAGTCCCAAAACACTAGAGAATTCCTAGAAGCCTGGACTCGGGCAAATTGACCATCAGCAGATACATAAAGATAAACAGGCTACACAAACCATTCAAAAGAGACAATCAAAAGGCCAAAAAGGAAACAAAAAGACTTCTCACAGCAAAAATTCCTCACCGGCAAAAATTCCTCACCAGCTGATGAGCAGAGATTAACACTTAGATTAATTCTAGACCAACAATCAAGAAGTAAACAATGCCCCAGTCAAGGAACTACCAACTCAGAGAAAAAAGCTAAACAGTAGACAACAGCCTGAGAGCATACGCACCAAGACAAATTCCTTGTGTGTCCAATCACACTTGGCCAATAAAAAATTCTATTCTATTCTATTCTATTCTATTCTATTCTATTCTATTCTATGAATTACCAAGACCTCTTTCACCAACCCTGACAGGGCAAGCCACCAGTATATAATATGAGATCACACCCCACTCCTTTTTGGCACTAATTATGTTACCTAGTTTGGTAATGAAGTGTCTGCAAAAAAACAACCAAGTTCAGAGAGCACCATAGAACCCACAGTTCAGCCTAAGGGTTACAAATATTTTCTTCCCTTGGAATTGATGACTACAAGCAAAGAAACAAAGGTAAAGATTAAAAACAGGAGGATATACACTGCTCAAAAAAATAAAGGGAACACAAGCAGAAGACATCCGAGATCTGAATGAATGAAATAGCCGTATTAAATACTTTGTTCGTTACATACAGTAGTTTTGTGTTCCCTTTAGTTGTTTGAGCAGTGTATAAATTACTGTATGTAAAGAACAAAGTATTTAATAAGGCTATTTCATTCATTCAGATCTCGGATGTCTTCTGCTTGTGTTCCCTTTATTTTTTTGAGCAGTATATATTGTGCAGCTCATACAAAATTATTAAAAATGAAAAATAGATGGATTCCCCCCCCCCCAGAATGTTGTGATGCTGATAGAAAAGCAATAGAAGGTTTATTTAAAAAGCAGGAAGTCCAATTATAAAAGCATACTTCTACTTATTTAGTTATACGGGAGTAAAAACTGGGTACGTAAGAAAAATTGTGTGAATACAGTGGGCATTTGTTATTTAAGAAGTGTGTGTAGTAAAACAAGAAATGATCAGCTCAAAAGTGAATGAATGTGGAAGGAATATAAATGGGAGTGACAAGTATAAATATGTATTATATAGAATGAATCAGCACTGAGCTGCAGAACAGGAAGAATGAACGAGTTGAGAGGAAGACTCAGGTTTTCTTGCCAGAAAGAGAAGTGAAAAAGTCAAAGTACAGAAGATAATGTATTCAGGCAATGTATGGATGGGGGTGGAAGCAAAGATGCTGACAGAAAAAATCCAAGAGAGCCAGTTTGGTATAGTGTTAAGGAACCAGGCAAGAAACTAGTCTCCTGCCTTTGCCATGAAAGCCAACTGGGTGCCCTTGGGTCAGTCGCTCTCTCTCTCTCAACCCAACCTACCTCACAGGGTTGTTGCTGTGGGGAAAATAGGAGGAGGAAGTTGTGTTTCATATGTTCGCTGCCTTGAGCTATTTGTAAAAATAATAATGGTTGGATAAAATATATGAAAAAAATAGATATATTGGGTGGGGTTGTATACATTTGGCTGGTTTGGCACTAATTCCTTTCTTTTTCTTCCGTCATGTCTTAATTTCTTTGCATTACTCTGTCTTGTTTCTTTGCCTTGCTTCTGCATAATGTTACTTGCCCCCTTAAAGAATAAAATGATGGGACTAAATGTTTTTATATCGCGAGGATTTTTTTTCCCTTAACATTTAACACAGCACAGCACTTGAGCAAAATGGTTTGGTTGAGAGCAGCATATGTGGAACTGATTGGGTTAGATTGTGGGGGTGATACCGAAATATAACTTTATCATATTTTATTTATCTATATATTAAATTACTGTGTTTTATTCCAATTTCATTTTAAACTGTATTTTATTCCAATTTCATTTTAAATTGTATTTTATCCAATTCCATTTTAAACTGTTTTTATCAGATTTTAGTAATAATTTGTGTCTGGAACTCTGCACTTTGATATGGCCCAAGGGTTAATCAGTAAAGTAAACTAACTATAAAAGTTAAAATCATTTTCTATTTCCTAGCAGGTCCATTCTACATTCTGGTTACAGATGTCATTTATGTGGAGTTCTGCTTTGGCCCTGAAGTCTGCTCAGCTTCCTGTGTTTCGACGGATGCCTTTCATAGCTGCCTGGAACGCACCGACAGATCATTGCTCCATCCGATATAATATCACAATCAGCTTAAGAATGTTCCACGTGATTGGAAGTCCATTTGCCAAAGCAAGAGGACAGAATGTGACCATATTTTATGTCAACAGGCTGGGATATTATCCCTGGTACACATCACAAGAAATCCCAATCAACGGTGGCCTCCCTCAGAATTTCAGCTTGCAAACGCACCTGGAGAAAGCTAATCAAGATATTAACTACTATATTCCTGATAAGGATTTCACTGGGTTGGCAGTCATAGACTGGGAACACTGGAGACCCCAGTGGGAGCGTAACTGGAACACCAAAAATATTTACAAGAGACAGTCGAGGAAACTAATTTCCAAACTGCAAGAGAACATTTCTGCAAATGCTATCGAACGTTTAGCTAAATTTTCTTTCGAAAAATGTGCTAAGGCTTTCATGAAAGAAACAATTGAACTGGGGATTAAAAGCAGGCCCAAGGGCCTCTGGGGATATTACTTATATCCTGACTGCCACAATTACAATTTCCATGAGCAGAACTATACTGGCTCATGTCCAGAAAATGAACTCATGAGGAATAATGAACTGTTGTGGTTGTGGAATAGCAGTGCAGCATTATATCCCTCCATTGGCATTAAGAAATCCCTCGGAAGCAGTGAAAACACATTACGCTTTTCACAGTTTAGAGTGAAAGAATCCATGAGGATTTCCTTTATGACCTCACATGATTATTCTCTCCCAGTATTTGTATACACTCGACTAGACTATAAAGATCAGCCTTTGTTATTTCTTTCTATGGTAAGCTCTCTGGAGATCATCAATTTTGTGGCTTCTGTAGAACAAACACACCATTGCTGTGGACCAGTGGAACTCTTAAATCGGGAAGAGCTAATTCACATTTAACATCAATCAAGAACACCCAAGGGCATTTGGTTGGCCACAATGGGAAAATAATACTGGATTAAATAAGACCTTGCTTTGATCCAGCAAGTTTCTTTTTAGGTTCTTAAAAATACAGGACAAATACTCTCTCTCCTTCACCATCTTTCATTTCCCTGCTAACTAACCACATCCCTATCATTACATTCCTATAATTCCTTCTCCTTCTTACACTTTCAGAGACAATTACCCAACATCCTGCTGTCAGTGAGATCCTTCCCTTTCCTAATACAACTCCTAGATTTGATTAATGGCCATTGTCTCTAGTTGGAGTGGAAAATCTGTGAATTAAGTTGCAAAGAGTCATTGGCTTGTGGTGGAGGTGCAAGTTAAATAAATACATGTTTATTCATGGCATTGAATCTATTTTAATGTCAAGTAAGAGAAGCATAATGTCAAAGTATCTGGAATGTTGCAACTATTATAATCATCACTAGCTCTCAATTCATTTTTCTTCTAAGCCAACATTTCTTCATAGTAAAAAAAAGTTCCTTGGCATATCGAATTGCAACCTTAGACATTTTGGGGGAAATCATTGGAAATGATTTATTTGAACACATCTCAATATCACATCATACTTTTGTGTGCAGACATCTTATGTCTGAAGAATTATTTACTTTTTTCCTTTTAATTGACGGTTCTCACTCCACTTGCCTAACCCAGGATTTGTTTATATAATTTATGCTTACATTTGAATATTTATTTAAACATTTATAAATCTCAGGTTTGGTGTTCTATATTTGAAGTCAATCCAGCATGAAATGAATATACTATATGCACAAAACAAACCTAATCATATCATTTAAAGACCTTAGGGCTTCATCTGCACAATGCATAAAGTCTGGGAAATTTCATCTCTCCCTGTCCCTGTCCCTGTCCCTGTCCCTGTCCCTGTCCCTCCCTCCCTCCCTCTTTCCCTCCCATGTGTGTGTGTATTAGTATCTCCAGTTGGTTAGTGTATGGTTCACTGTATTGTTACATTTTGTTCTGAGCTTTTTCTCTCTCTCTAATAACAGTTTCTTTCAGCCGAATACACAAAATGCAATCTTAGAAGACAGAAATAGGACTGTTGAAAAAATAATATCTGATCTCATGTTTTGAACAGCAAGATTTTTCTAGATTCATGACAAAAAATATTTATGCAGCGTCTATCTTATCTTCAAATTGGCATGGTGAAATTGAAATAACAAAATATCCTTACTACAGATATAAAACTGATTGAAGATGAACCACATTAAAACATGAATATTTGCAGCAATTAGTTACAAATTCTTCTGAAAGCTTGGCTACTCAGAATGGGGTACCTCATAATGATGCTGTTAATGTGCCCAGTTATGATATACAATAATTGACTGATAATATTTTCTTCTGTTCCTGTGTAGCAAGATCTTGTTAGCACAATTGGTGAGAGTGCTGCCTTGGGAGCTGCAGGAATTGTTATTTGGGGAGACATGAATTTAACATCATCAGAGGTAAATTAAAGTCGTCGTTTTAAAATCTTTTAAGTTGCCTAAAAGTCTTCCTTTTGACCCGGCATTCTTTAATATAGTACACTCACTTTTTATCTATTCATTTTTTCTTATGCAAGATCAGATTATGAGTAGGAGAAGCTTCAGGGAACATTTGGCAAAAATCTATAACTTTCTTTCAAAGCTTTGGAAAGTAAGGTTACATAGGTTTTATATCAGGGGTGAAATCTAATTTTTTTTGCTACCGGTTCTGTGTGTGTGGCTTAATTAGTGGGCGGGGCTTGGTGGTAAGGTGACTGGGTGGGCGTGGCCAATGTCACTTCTTTGCCCTTTTTAAGCTAAAAAACACAACACAAAACAACTGGCTCACCCACAATGTAAAAGCAGCTGTGTTAGACTCAAAATGGCTTCGCAACAAGCAGGAACTTCACACAGCCACAAAAAGCCCAAAAAAACAACTTTCACACTTTACACACACACAACACAACACAACACAACTGGCTCACTCACAATGTAAAAGCAACTGTGCTAGACCCAAAATGGCCCCTGCAACAAGCAGGAACCTCACACAGCCACAAAAAGCCCCAAAAACCAACTTTCACACTTTACACACACAAAATTCCACATACAGCTTTGTGAGATTTTGTGTTTGTGTAGTTAGAGTGAAACACTACAGAAACACACTAAATCTCAGAAAGCTGCACAAATATTATTTTATTTTATTTTATTTTATTTTTATTTTTATATAAAAGCAGCTAAATTTAAAGCTTCCTAAACTTTAAATGGCTAGGTCTAAAAAAAGAACAACTTAAAAAAACTCCAATTAACTATTTTTTTTAAAGCTCCCAAAGGGGAAAAAATCTTACCCAATAGAACAGGGGTCTCCAACCTTGGCAACTTTAAGACTTGTGGACTTCAACTCCCAGAATTCCTCAGCCAGCTTTGCTGGGAGTTGAAGTCCACAAGTCTAGGCAGGAAGGCAGGCAGGCAGAAAGAGCTGCTCATCGATGAGCTTGATTGCAGGCAGGGAGATTCAGTTGCTTGCTGATGCATGGATTGCGATCGTCATGCGATCAGCAGCTAAGGTAAGCAAGCTGGAGGCTGGGAGAGGGGGAGGGGAGAAAAAAAGAAACTTTTTTTCTTTTACATGGCTCTGGCGATCCGAGCTGAGTTGCCTGATTAGCAGGCAACTCAGCTGGGATGTTAGAGCTTGGCTGGTCAGAGCCATTTAAAAGAAAAATAAGGCTCTGATGATTGCGGGGCTCAGCTGGGCATGGGGGACAGGGGCAGGAATTTTTGCTACCGGTTCTACGTATATATATATATTTATGACATAGACATGGCATTGGACAGCCTTCCCATGATTTACATATTGCTTCTTTCTTGCAGTCCAATTGCACAAAGGTGAAGGAATTCATTGCTTCTAAATTAAGTCCTTACATCACCAATGTAACCAAAGCTGCAGAGGTGTGCAGCCAGAATCTGTGTCGGAATAATGGAAGGTGCATACGAAGAAATTGGAAAGCTTTGGATTATCTTCATTTAAATCCTCAGAATTTTCAAATCAAAGCTTCAAAGAATGGAGTTACTGTGACAGGGGTAGCATCTTCAACTGACCTTCAAACAATGGCAGAGAAATTCACTTGCCATTGTTATCAAGGATTTGAAGGAGCTGATTGTAGGAAAATCAAGACTTTCGGCTGGCAACCAGGGTACTCTGTCAGTTTAATCTCATCCAGAATAATAATTATGATAAACTTGGTTTCCTTCAACTTTTTAATTGTTGAGATTTCTTTTTGACAATGGCAAAGTAGTAATTTCCCATAAGATCTGTTGCTCCAGAAGAGCAATAGAAGTGTAAAGACAGTTATCCTATGAATTCTTATTTCCATGCATAAGGTTATAGACACACATAAAATCATAGTTTAATACACCTTGATTCAGTGATCTTGGCCTGCAACAGGCAAACTTCTGCATTGGTTTATGTTGCTTGTATAATGATGTCACTAAATCATTTGCATCATACTTGACATAGTGATGCAAATAACATCGCTATGCTAATAATATAATCTCTGCAATTACATACTTTACTATTCAATGGAAGTTGCCTAGAATAACACGTCCCCCTCTCCACCCCTTTCAATCCATTAAAATGAGATGTCATTCTATAGGACAAAACGTGAAACTAATGCATGCAGTATTTTGCTTCTGTGAGCTAGCGTTTTGGTGCTTTCCTACCAATGCAAACATGTAAAAATTGGCAGGTGCATTTTGTACAACCTGGTTTTATTCCAATGTCACAGCTGTCAAAAGGAGCAGCAGTGAAGTCTCAAGCACCTTTCACACAATCATCAGCTTTGCTCCACTCTTACTCTAAGCGAGGGGTGTCAAATTCGCGGCCCGCAGGCCAGATGCGTCATGTGCTGGCCCCACCCCCGCCTGGTTTAGTGAAGGGGAAAAAAAACACTCCAAACTTGATTGCAGAAAATATGACTTCAGCAACAGAGTGGTCAATGCCTGGAATGCACTACCTGACTCTGGTTTCATCTCAAACCCCCAAAATTTTAACCTTAGACTGTCTACTGTTGACCTCACCCCATACCTAAGAGGTCTGTAAGGGGCGTGCATAAGTGCACCAGTGTGCCTACTGTCCCTGTCCTACTGTCCCCATTTATTCATATCCTTATCATGTATTCATAATCATATTTATACTTATATCTGTTATCTTACATGTTTGATAAAATAATAAATAAAATAAAATAAATTAAAAATGTCACGTGACACCACTGTGACGATGCAAGTTTGACACCCCTGCTTTTAGCATTACTTTTGCAATACCCAATTAGTGTCATCATCATCCCCTCTTTAATCTGACCAACAATTCTTCCAGCTGGCAAGAAGACAATGTTTAAAAAGGCAGTTTTTTTTTACTGGGGAGAGAAGCACTTTAAAAAGGCCCTAAAATTCACCTGCAATGAAGTAGTATATTGCTTATTCAGATACATGCTTACCTACAAAACATTGTGGGTGGCCAAGTATTATTTATAGCAGTGGTGGGTTTCAAATTTTTTTACTCCGGTTCTGTGGGTGTGGTTGGTGGGCGTGGCATGGCTTGGTGGACATGGCTTGGTGGGCGTGGCAGGAGAAGGATACTATAAAATCTCCATTCTGTCCCCACTCCAGGGGAAGATACTGCAAAATCCCCATTTCCTCCCGATCAGCTGGGACTTGGGAGGCAGAGAATAGATGGAGGTGGAGCCAGTCAGAATTTTTACTATCGGTTCTCTGAACTACTCAAAATTTCCATTACTGGTTCTCCAGAACTGGTCAGAACCTGCTGAAAGCCACCTCTGATTTATAGGAAGCAGTGTCAAAATACAAGGCAATCCCCTTGGTGTGATAAACAGGCATACTACAGGACCCTGGTGCTTTATTAAAAAAAAATGAGAAAGGAAGACTTCATTGGCCATTTCCAAATAAATTGACTGTTCTCTGAATTATGAAACTAATCCTTCCTTTTTTTTTCATTTCATTTTAATTTGATCTCCAGACACCTACACAGATGAGGCAAATAAAAGGAGAGCAAATAATTCAGTGTTAATTCCAGATGAGGCATTTATTTTGAGTCAAGCGTGCCTAAAGTAAATAGCAAAATAGAGATATGGATCATCTCAATTGCCAATGCCTTTTTACCCATCAGCCTGGACTTCTCCAATCCCATTCTCAGTGCAAACATTTGAGCTGATTTTCAGCTAAGCTTAGACTTACACAGAAGCTCTGCTAATGTTCCCATCACTTGTAGGTTTCTAGGCTTCTAGAATTTAGAAGAAGCTTCTAAGAATCTAAGACATATAAGAAGTAAAGTGCAATTATTAGAAAGGGAGGTGGTAGCAATATGGGGGGTTAGATATGGTTATTTGTTTCTTTTGTGGTTGGTTGCACAGTCAGCCAGATGTTTAGACCTATTAAGTCCTTCCCAAGGACCTGGGATAGGCAGATGTTATTGTTTCAGAGTGTTACAGTTATTGAATGATGGATTAATGATGTCTTAAGTTTAAAGAGCAAAATGGATGCCTTAAACCTTGCAGATACACACTCCTGGTTTAAAGCATGAACCCTCTATGCACCTCTGAGACTCATGATCACTTTAATTAATGGATTAATTAACTAAAGCTTAATTGTGACAGGCAATTATTATACTCTTGTATTATGAATTAACATTATTATTTGATGGGAATGAAATGGATTAGTGCGAGTAAGGAAATTATAATAAACCTTGGTTCAATTGACTGGAGGAGGCAATTAGTAATTAGTAAAAGAGCATTATCGTGCTACAGGACACATAAACCAAGCATTTTTCTTTATTTATTTACCAGGAAGTAGGAAAGCTTTTCTGTAAGAAATTAGATCAACCCTCCCAAATGAGGAAAGTGAAACAGTTGTTTTAGTACCCATGTGGATCTAATGATATATAGGTCTGTTCTGCAGTTGGCGGCATTACTTTACTCTATTTTATCAGGAGGATAAAACACAAAATGATACGTTTTTTTCTGCTAAATAACACTCATTAGCATAACAAGCATGAAATATAAGCAGTTACTTTTACAGGTCTAGGTTAATGTATGAAGAAGACATAACTGCAAAACAAAAAGCTATCATGTACATTATAAATAATAGTACAAAACCAAGACAAGTACCAAAGGGGGGTGGGGGACAGAAAGAGACTGAACACCGTGGTAGAACAGAACCTGAGGTGTTATGTGAACTATTAGCAGTCCAATTGGACGGACCTCCTGCCTTTTGCTGAGATCACATACAATAATGCTGTTCACAATAGCATGGGATGAACTCCATAGGGGGGCAAACCCATTATGAGGTGCAGCAAAGTTCGTGCTCCGGATCATTGAGGGTAGCAGGAGCTGTTTCACCACTATTCAGTGCTTGGCTGGATTTTTGCAGCTCAGATTCTTTGGCTCAGGGCAAAGCTGGTTGGGGAATTCTGGGAGTTGAAGTCTTCCAGGCTTAAAGTTGCCATAGTTAGAGACCCCTGCTCTAGAACATGGAGAATAGATAACAGAAAACAAACCTTTCATAGCCTTGTAGAGTTTTGTGCAGATTTTCACAACCTAGATCTGGTAAAACAAAAAAAAAAAAAGATCATCTTTCTTTCAGCTGGACACGTGTACTTTAAATCATTTATAGAAAAAATTGAGAGTAAGAATGGTGATTTCTCATCTACTTAATTAAATTAATTAAACATTGCCAATTAAGACTGAAACAGATACCATATCTAAGTTGTACTCAGCTGGAGGAATAGAACTGATATATAAAACTATTTTACAATCAACCACTAGGCGGTAGCAAAGAGATGCATATAAGGAATTTGAAGAACAACTTTTTAATTTAGATTTGTTCCAATTGTCTTGAAAAGGCATGGCGATACTGATGATTTTGTAGATTCCTAGCCACTGTATTTATTAGTATATTTACAAATAACTTTGCACCGAGAATATTTCAGACTAAAAGAATAAAAATTACAATATAAAATCTCAGTACAAAATCAATAAGTAAAATCAACAAGTTAAAATGAGCTCAAAAGATCGTCAGTTAATCTAGGAAAGCGAACACAAGGTGAAAATATGAGTAGAGTTATTGAGATTTCAACTTTAAAACTCACTTGATTCAGGATATCTCTGGTGAAGTAAAATAGAACAAACAATTAACTTTTTTTCTTTTTCATGTGGAGAAATAAAAAAGAGCTTTGGTGTTAAAAGACGCCAACATTGAGAACTTTTCATAATGAGGTACTATGTCAAGGCTGATAAATAAAAAAATAAAATAAAAATAAAATAAAGGTAAGAATATCTAATTCAGCAGACACTGCTAGGCAATTTGATGGCAGTGTTTTGCTTATAAATTATTTCACCTTCTCTATTTCATGCTACAAATCCTGAAAGCTTTTGTGGCCCCTAAACCTGGATTTTCTATACAATGTTGTTATTTATTTTCAACTCAAATATCCAGGGGGTTCCCAGAGTGCTCTGCATAGCCAAAACTGTATTCTCTGTATTCTTACTTTCACCACAGTGTCTCTCTTACAGACAATAAATATCTCTCTGTGGGCAGGAACGGTGTGCAGGAAATGTTGTGTAATATTAATGATTAATAGCTCATCTGGAGGTGATGAATACTCTGAATATCTGAAGGGGGCTACTCAGTTTGAAAGACTATGATCCAGCCAGCTTCTCTTGAAGAGTATTGGCTTGCACTCAGGATATCTCTGGTGATTTTCAAACACGTCTTTTCTCTCTAAAGAAAAGTGACAAAGATCACTTTTACTTTTTACTGCCAGCATGCAGCGTGGCAGGGATTATATGGAGATGAGAGGGGAAAAAAGCATAACTAAAAGAGAAAGAATGACTGGTTTCAATGACATACTCCTGCTCTGGCTCCATCTGGCTTGTAAACATGAGCAGAAGGATGTTGCTCACTCTTCATTTAAAGCATCCTAGTTCTCCAACTTGTCTCCCCAAGAGATTTTAGTTGGCACAGTTTCAATTGGCAATTCAGCTACTCTTTATATTGAATAGCTTTTTGATGGAGCCAATTTTAAACTAGGAAGTCTGGTCATTTCATTGTCCCTTGATAATTCCAGTAAGATGCCTACTTTGTGATTTGTTTTTCAGTTTGGGCTATCATGTCTTATATTTTACTGAATTTTATTGCATATTACCCATACAGTTTTGTTTTGGCGCCACACAGACATTAACTATAGTAATAAAGTAGTATTTATAGAAGCAAACTAACATAATCATTCAGCAACAAAAATGCTTCATTGAATTATGATATTCTTGGGATGTTACAGAGATTTTCCTGTGACACCAGGTCACCGTTGATTTAACATTTTAATCGTTGAAGGAAAAATATTCCTGGTTCTTCTAAATACATTTCATTTTCTGAATGGGTAGAACTATAGAAGTATGTCCTTTTCTGAGATTTTTGTACACTAAGGGAGAAAAGGATACTACAGCAATAAATAAATACAAATGTACAATAATTTGAAAAAAGGAAAAAAACAGAAATTGCATCTTTTCTGGATGTTTGCAGATGTGTAATCTATATAGAAATTAAAGTCAGTCTCTGTATTAGATATTATGTAAAATGAAACTTTCTTGCTGGGTATAATGCTCTATTAGGCTATGCATTCTATTCAGACTCAAAATTCCATCTGGTTTTAAAATTTCCTTCTTTACCGAAGATAGTAATTGTCTGTCTGTCTGTCTGTCTGTCTGTCTGTCTGTCTGTCTGTCTGTCTGTCTGTCTGT